CCTGGAATGCAAACATGCAATCTACCCTGCTGCTGTTTACTATTTAGTGTATCATTTCCGCACCTCCCATTCTGCCGCCTGCCGGGTGCACTCATCCTCGCTCTGCGGAAAAAAGAACGGCCCAACCTCTGCTGTGCTGTTGATGGCATCCACCACCTGCCACAAGATGCTGAAGACCGTCTCCTTGGACACGCCGAATAGCACGGCGACATCGAGATACGAAGCACCGGACATCATCCGCAAGCCGATAGCTAGTCGGATCTTCCGTGGGAACAGCAACGCCTTGATACCGTTTTCCTGTTTCGCATGAAGCACAGAATAAGCATAGGGTGAACGTATCAGCAGACGAAAATAGCAAGTTCTGGGCCAAGAAAGTGTTACCCTCACCCTCGTCAGACACCGGAGGTCACCGTCGTGCTGGTGTAAACCGTCCTGCTGGTGTGAGAGTGCGGGCGGTGGTGCTGCGGGATGATTCGGATTGATTCCTACAGCAGTAGAATACACTTTAAAAATAATATCAAACACACCAACCGTGGTCTTCTGCAATGCTATAGCATACACTTCAGCATCAGCAACAAACGGAAGGACGGGAAAAACACCACGGCATGAGTTCTGCGCCTCGTACGTCTCTCTCTCCCTGCCCCCCCACCCTCCCATCTCTCCCTCCCTCCTTCTCGCTATTCTCACTTGCGTAGTAGTCGTTCCGTTGGAGGATCGGTTCCAGCAACCCAGCCAGTTTGTTGAACACGGGTTCCTCCATGCGATACATCCTACGGAAGAGCTTCATGCTTCGTTTTTATTCGTATGCGTATCATCTTGGTAACGCAAGCGTCAAGTCATCCAGTCATCCAATTAACTGTTTCTAGAGGATGTTGTATTCCTATTTAGTTCGGCAGGAAGGACGTTCCACACCCACGTGGCACATTCTATCGCAGCCATCCGTGCCTTAGCGGCCAGCAGGGAGGTTTAGTTAGCCTGAGATCGTGGATGTTTCCCACCCTGCGCCGCCGGTGCTTTCACAACCAGGAGGTCTGACCTTAAGGTTGTGTGTGGCTGTCCCCAACCATTATGATCGGGGAAAGCACAACAACATCGGTCTCGCCTAAATAAAGTTGTGGCAGCCTCCCAACCTGCCCCACCGGTGCTTTCACAACCAGCAGGTCTAGATCCAGGTTGTGGCTACCCCCTAACCATTATTATGATCGGGGAATCACAACAACATCGGTCTTGCCTAGAGTTGTGGCTGCCTCCCAACCTGCGCCGCCTGTGCTTTCACAACCAGGAGGGTCTAGATCCAGGTTGTGGCTACCCCCCAACCATTACGATCGGGGAAAACACAAGAACAACATCGGTCTTGCCTAAAGTTGTGGCTGCCTCCCAGGCTGTGTCACCGGTGTTTTCACAGCCAGGAGGTCTAGATCCAGGTTGTGGCTGCCCCCCAACCATTATGATCCGGGAAGCACAACAACATCGATCGGTCTTGCAGCCTCCCAACATGCGCCACCGGTATTTTCACAACCAGGAGGTCTGGATACAGGTTGTGGCTACCCCCCAACCATTATGATCAGGGAAAGCACAGCAACATCGGTCTGGCCTTGAGTTGTGGCTCCCCCCCCAACCTGCGCCACCGGTGTTTTCACAACCAGGAGGTCTGGATACAGGTTGTGGCTACCCCCCAACCATTATGATCAGGGAAAGCACAGCAACATCGGTCTGGCCTTGAGTTGTGGCTCCCCCCCCAACCTGCGCCACCGGTGTTTTCACAACCAGGAGGTCTGGATACAGGTTGTGGCTGCCCCCCAACCTGTAACATCGGTCCTTGCACAACTAAGAGGGGCGGCCTAAGGTTGTCGATGCCTCCCAACCCGTCCGTGTGATCTGTGCTTGCACAACCAAGAGGTGTGGCCTGACGTTGTGGCTGCCTTCCAACCTTCCGAATACGTCCTTGTACAACCAAGCCGTTTTGCGGGGGTTGGGGCCTCCTCCCAACCCCCATCTACAACCTGCC